ATGTCCTCTATTTGAAAAATAAAATTAAAAGAATAGAGACAAATAATGATTAATTTACAACTCAACCAATTATAATTTAATTCAACGCATAACGTTATTAAAATTATAACATCAATGCGGTATCCCAACTAAAGAAAATATGATATCAAAGTTTACAATTTTACGCTCTATTTGTCTCTTTTCTTTTTATTCTTGATGATATCTTATTATCTCTCTTTTGCGACATAATTTATATCTAATTTTAGAAAATATATTTTAAGTCTTTTTTAAGTGTATGTAGAATTCTAGTTATATATTCGTAATTTATACAATCATCTATTATATTGTCGAGTCAACTATGCTACAACATAAAAACTATGCTTTTTTTTTTTAATATTATTGAACTTATTTCGATTGTATTGATGTGTTAAAAAAAGTAATACATATGAGAAAGTTGACAAATTAAGAAAAGTATACTTTATAAATTGTAATGACATTGTGTTGTTTTGATGCAATACTTTTTGTATTAATTATATAGTGCTCTTAACATGAAATTATTTTGGATTCGCCACTGCAGCTAGTTTTTCAATGGAACTTTCATTGTTTTTCCCAATTTCAGTGACAATTTTTTTAATGGTTGAAATATGGCAGAAAAAAAAATCCAACATAAATTCACACAAAAATAAATATTAGTAATTGAGATATTAAATCCACAAAAATTTCAATGTAATTTAATTTACTCACCATTGGAATAGCCAGTGAATCTTTTCAATAGAAACTATACCAATGAAATATTTGTTGGTATTTTCTGTGGAATACCTTACTGTTGGATTTTTCATTATAATATGGAATTTTTGTATTCTTTCATAATCATTAAAATGTTTATGTAGTAATTTTTTTATTTATTAATTGTGTTCATAATTTTTCTTTTAATATATATTAAAACATCTATTTTTTAGTCCATATAATTTTCTTACAAGTCACTCATTATTTTATGTTGAGATTACCTATTAATTTCTCAATTGAATTACTTTCCCTACATATTAATGGAAATAAGTATTATTTTTATATGTAATATAATATTTATATATTATATTAAAAAAGCTAATAACAAATAAAAAATTATTTAAATTTACAATAATCAATTTATTTTTAAAAAAATTTAAATCTCTAACCTACATAGATTAAAGTACAAATAACTATCAATAACCTAAAACTTACACCTATAATTAATAAGCACAAAAAAAGTAGCAATCGTGCTCGTTTACATCGATATGTACAAGTTTTAAAAGTTTTATATTTATATTTTTTAATTATAACATTTTTAGTTATTACTTTTTTTCATATGTATTAATAAGTATTACAACTTAATTATATTTTTAATATTATGTATCAGATTTAATATTTTCTTACTTTATATTGTTCTTAACTTCACACACACACACACACACACATATATATATATATAACTTTTAAATTTGTTAAAAAAATGCATAATACTAAGTATATAACTTTTTTTGGTCATATGTCTTATTATATCTATTATAGTTCTACATCTTTATATTATATTATGTATAATTACAATTTTCTAATTAATATTATTATCAAATATTAAAAAAAGATATTTTGTACATTTTTTAATAAAGTTGATTTATTGTAATAATACATATTAATAGATAGGTGAGTAATGGTACTATATCAATATAAATTCTTGGTAAAAATAATTAATTTTCAACGTATATAGGCATATCATGATCCACTATATATTTTTAATTAACTTGAAGATAATGATGGATAAAAGTACAAATAACTATTGTCTATCACCTAAAACTTACACTTAGAATTAATAAGAACAAAAAATTAACAAGCGTTTAATAACACCTGAATTGCGTTAAGAAATTGAATCCACCAAAAAGCCAATATTAGCTCTCTTAATTCCTCTAATAGTGACTCAACTCGTTTACATCGATAAGTACAAGTTTTAAAAGTTTTATCTTTATTTTTATTAACTATAACATTTTATTGTTACTTTTAATATTTATTAATAAGTGTTACAACTTAACGGATTTTTAATATTATTTGTCAAATTTAATATTTTTTTCCTTTATATTGTTATTTTATATGTTTATATATGTGTATACATACATACATATATATATATATATATATATGTATAACTTTTATATTTGTTAAAGAATACATAAAATTAAGTATGGAACCTTTTGGGTCATATGTCTTATTATATATCAATTAATTGTACATCGTTCTATTTTATTATATATAATTACAATTTTCTCATTCATTACATGAAAATAAATAGGCTGGGTTTTCGTATTATACATTTTCACAAAATTATTCTAACCTTATTTTAATCAAAGAAATTGGGTTGATTAGAAGTTTCGATTGCAAAACAATCATTCAACAATTAATCTCTCATACTATTACAAAAATTAATACTTTTTATAGGTTATTTTGAAAGAAAAAAATTGTTTCTTTACTTTATGGGTGTTATGAGGACAACATTATGGATTTCAATTTTATTACTTATAGTTATTAATAATAGATGAGTAATGATGATATATGATATAATTATTGGTAAAAATAAATAATTTTCTGCGTATAGGCATATCACGATTCTTTAGATATCTTAATTAATTCGTAGAAAAATATGATCAAAATAAAATCATGCTGCTCAACTAATATCCCATTCGACATGAAAAATATGGACCGAGTTTTAGTATTATATAATTTCATAAAATTATTCTAATCTTATTTTACGTAAAGAAATTGAGTAGATTAGAAGTTTAGGTTGAAAAATAATTATTCAAAAAATTATATCTCATATTATTACATAATTTATTCTTTTTTTTATATGTTATTTAAAAAAAATATTTATATAGTTTGTGGTCGTTATGAGGACAAACAACATTGATTTTAAATATTTTACTTATAGTTATTAATAAACTTGTAAAATTAAATAAATATTGTTGAAACAGTTATCTTATTTGATAGGATACTTACGGTTAAATAAACTCTTAAATTTTATTGAGAAGATCATAAAAGTATTTAAGAATCTTGAATAATATCAATAAATAAAATATTTTATTTATAAAATTTTGAATTATAATCGTTTATAGAGCGGAAAACTTGAAAATTAATTGCTCAAATAAAATAATAATAATAATAATAATAGTTAAAATGTCATGAACATTTTTATTAATAATTGAATGAAAAATTTCAAATAATTTAAGTCTTAATAATTAAAAAATTACGCAACTTGATATTAATCACCTAATGGTCACGTGAAGATTCGTTAACTCTATTAGCTTTGCGACCAAAATTTGAAAATACAAACCACTAAACAATGACGATTTTTGTGGGATTAATATTCAATAACTAAGGTACAATCTAATTCTAGTTCTAAATACAAGAGTTTATTTTTCTTAAATAATAATCTAGTTAAATGAATTCTTCCATTTTTCTAGTTTGTTAGATTATGTATATATTCCACGTGCATGATTTCGGTAATATTTTAGGTATCTTCTCTTAATTAAAGTTATGTATATATGTATCTTGGAAATTATTTATTATATAAAATTCACCTCTCAACTAAGTTATCATGTTTTACCAAGATTTATCATTTTGTTAAAAGATAGGTAAACAAATAGTTGAGAATATTTAGATCTTTTATAAGTATTTATTATGTTGTTTTTGTTGCATAATTTTTTGTTTAAATAAATTTTCTATATTAAAATCATTAAATATGATTACGATTTTATCATCAAAATTATATTAAAAATAAGAATGTTATTCAAAACAAAAATTCAATATCATTTCAAAACTTTGTTGTTTGGGTTAATGTTGAGATGGTTTTTTAGAGATATTGAAGAAAACGGTTTGGGAGATATGTGGAAGAAACCAAATTCTTGAAGAATAATGGTGTGAATATTGTGGTTGATCTTTAAGAGACGTGGAATGTTTTGTTCATTTAATTGTATTAAATGAATAAAATATTAAATGAGAATTAGTGTATTACTAATTTGAGATTAAAAATATGTCAAATAAAGGAAATTTTAGGTAAATATTAGTTATTAATTAAAAAAAATATAAGATGAGATATTATTATGTTATTACTAGTTTGCCATTAAAAATATACCAAAGTAAGGATATATTTGTTAGTTCTTTCTTTTACAAAAACATTCGTCCTTTTATAATAGTATTTTGAGTTACCATTTTAGTTAGCACAACATTTAGACATAGAATATAATAAAACATTTGGACTAAATGTTACATAAGATTACTTTGTAGATGTTGTTTACAAGAACCAATTTGTTTTGGTGGACTTCTATGGAAGAGTTATTTTTTTTTCAACAGCTACTTAGCTAAGAGAATCATAACACTTCTTCAAAGACTACCTCAATCTCCATCATTTTTAGTAAAATTTAGAATTATTTGAGTCATACTTTGGGCATGTATCGTAATAGTTTTCAATGTTGCGCCATTATTTATTTAATTAAATATTAGTGATTAACTAAAAAATATAAGATTTGAAGAGTATTAGTGTATTACTAATTTGCCATTAAATTAAGTCAAAGTAAGGGTTTTTTAGGTAGTTCATTTGTTAATTAAAAATATAAAATAAGATGGGTATTACTGTATTACTAATTTGCCATTAAAAATATGTCAAAGTAATGGTTTTTTAGACAGATTATTATTTTTACAAAATCACTCATCCTTTTATAATAGTATAGATAGATATAGATATAGATATAGATATAGATAGATAGATATAGATAGATAGATAGATAAGATAGATATAGATAGATAGATATAGATAAATAGNTTTCAACTACCAAAAATACAGAATTACAAAGAACTGAATTAAACATATACGAGTGTATGAGGGAAAACAAAACAAATTTACACAAAACACAATAAAAATTGACATCAACTGCACCCATATATATGTATATCCATATAATTAATAGGAAAAATATTCCATGTTTTTTTTTTTTTTATAATTAGTTGTACTGAAGGCGTGACATTTGTCTCTGAAGTTTCATTTGCTCATAAAACTTGGCTATAAACAACTCAGCCTTCACATCAATTCCCTCTTCTTCTTCTTCCTTTTCTACTCCATTCTCCGAACTCTCGACTACAAAACTCGAGTCCTTCGCATTATAGCAATCTTCTCCCGCATCATAATCATCATAACCCTCTCCATCATCACCAAACTCGAAATCATAGTCGAAATCCACGACATGCGGCTCGATGCACGGAATTTTCGGCAACTTAAACCGCATGGACAATGGCCTCCGGCTCATCCTCACGTGTACAACGGGTGTCTCATCGAACGACAACTCGCGTTCCCCATAAATGAGGGCCCCACCACGTGGCGTCTGACTCGAGTATCGGAGTTTTCTTAGCATTCCTTTTTCGACATCTTTCAGACTCACGATTAGACGGTTTCTAAAAGCACCTCCCTTTCGGGCCCACATAAGAGCTAGCCGGACGATGTTCCATGCCATACGCCGGCTTCCGATGGAGCTCTTTTTCAGCATTTTCTTTACTTTTCTTTTTTTTTTTCGTGTAATATATATATATATTTTTTTTATTTATTTAGTGAATGGAAAGTTGTGTGCCTTTTTGAGGGTGATGTATTGAAAGATATGATGTGTATTTATAATATATGTGTGTGATGATGATTTGATTATTGGGTTTGGGTTACGCGGTGTGGAGAAAAGAAATAAGAAAGGGGAAAAGAAAACGTTAATAGTGATGGTTGTGTGCTGGAAAGTGCAGTATTAATCAATTTCCATTAACATAATCATGTTAATATTTTGTTTGTTTGTTAATTTGTTGATTGGGGGGCCGAAAATTGGTTGTCCACGCGGCTGTACTCTACGCGGCCTCAAGCTGTTTTGTTACCACAAGTACCATTGGGTTGGCTCTCAAGCGTATTAAAATTCGAAATGGGAAATTAAGTAAATTTAACTTAATTCACTTCTATATTTGTACAAATGCAAAATTGAAAATTTTTAATTCCTATCTTATGTGCAAATTTTATATATTTATAGATCCCATATATGTATATCTGTATTTTTAATTTTAATCCATGTCGACTATGACTTGCAAATTTGTAAAAAACTATATTAGCTTAAACATAAATATTTTTTGAAATTTAATAACTATTCATTTTTTTTCTCAAAATTTTATATGTAATATAGCAAATTAATCAACTTTTTCACGATTTTTATTTGTATGTTGCCTATATAAAATAAAAATAATTATATCTACCTTAAAAAATAAAAATTAAATTATCCAAAAAATATAATTTTAAAATAATATAGTTAGCGTTTATTAATTAAAAAACATTTATCTATCAAACATATTATATGACATTAGTTAGAAAAAAATATTATAATATAAGATGAGTGAGGGTTAGGAATGACAAGCGTGATTTTAAATGCAATTTTTTTAAAGTCTTTCAATTTTTTTTTAAATGTGATTTTTAGATAAATTTCTTCATTTGGTGTTGTTGGACTACTAGTATATTCTGTTGATGAGATGATTATACGTGCTTTACAATAAACCATATATGATACATATATTTTTCAAATTACCATATATTTTTATATATTTAACTAATACTTCTAATACTATTTTAAAATATGAATCAAGTACAATTTAAATATATGATGTTATTATTTAATTTGTATAATGTTATATTTTGAAAAAAAAAAAAATTACATGTATTTAAAAATTATAATAAAATGTACGATCGAATATATAGACAAGCTTGTCTATATTTAAGTATATGTATATATATAGGGTGTCTGTTTAAAATCAATTGGAAAATGGAAGTTTGTAAGTGCAGAAATATTATGTCATAAGCAACGGTAGAGTTGTTAAATTAAACAAGCGTCTCATGAGTTCGGCTTGTTATGGCTCGATTTTGGTTTGACTCCTTTGATAAACGAGTCAAAATTGATCTCATTGAAAGGTCGTTCAGTTAACGAGCCGGCTCAACTCAACTCGTTATGACTCAAAAATGAAACTTTTATGTAACTTTATGTAGTTCGGATTGTTAAGCCTCGAGTTTGGCTCGTTAAGACTCGAGCTCGACTTGCTAATATTAATAAACGAGTCGAGCTCGGACTCAATTACTGGCTCCTTTTGTTAATGAGCTGAGCTCGACTCGACTCATTAAGGGCTCGGCATCGAGCTCAGCTCGGCTCATTTACAACCCTAGGCAGCAGCAAAACAACAACGATAATAATAACGTAGAGAACACACAAAGGGCATTTTTGGGTGCACGCAATGATTAGGGCATCCACAACCGTTCTCATTCATTTAATCACAATTTACACTTTGTCTCATCCACATTATGTTTACCTCATATTTTCACTGAACATCTCTCCATTTAAGCATTCTCTTACATTGGCTGAATCCATTTAAATACAAACATACACTATAAGAAAATGATTGAATTCCAACAGAAATATATTTCAATAGAATTCCAACGGCAATTTCAATGGATATTTTAAATGCTATTATTTCCGTTGAAATTTCAACGGCAATTTCAATGGAATTCCAATAGAATTCCAACGTCAATTTCAATAGAATTCCAACGGCAATTTCAATGGATATTTCTACTATTTTTAGAATGTTTTTTTTTATTTTTGTAAAAAAAAAAATTAGACCGCATTTAATGCTACCATAACTCATGGAATTTGTTATATTTAAATTTCAAATTTCAAAAAAAAAAACTTGCCTAAGTGTATTTTAATTTTTTTAAATCCCAAAGATTGAAATAAAAAAATTCATCTTTATCTTACTTACAAATATATAATAGTATATGATATGACGAAAGCAACACGTTAGATTAAGGAATAATTTGAGTATTTATTGGCAGATAAAGCAAAATTAACGAGATTAAAATCAATTACCTAATTAATTAGTATATGAATAATGAAGATAAATAATTATTCATTTTTTGTTTAATTATATTTAGGAAGAAAAAATTAAATTTTTGCCAATAAGATTGTGAATGGATATCAAATAATATTACTACAAACCTAACAATTAAAATAATATTAATACACATATGATATTTTAATTTTCAACTATTTTAAATTAATATTTATTATTTTATATCATATTAATTTTAATAATTATATTTTTATTTTATAGTTTTTCATCATTTGAAAATTTTTCAACAAAATAAAAATTTTCAAAATTTCTAGATAGCTTTGTGTATTATATTCTAATGCAAGGAATAATAATTCTTTCTAACAAAATGCTCCAAATTATGTATTTCATAATAAATGCGTTAGCATTTGCGAGATATACACAAATTCGTATAATATATTTCCATGAAATTGGTAAATAAAAATAAAAATTAATGGATGGATCGGTACAAAATATGATAAAAGAGATATAATCAAAATTACTTGACATGCGGTACATTACATATCGACAATGTTGATTGTAACAATATAAAACTGGTATACAAGACATATAGACAATGTCTACTATATATGTAAATATTCTCTCATAGAGTTGTGAGATATTAGATTGTAATACCTATTATTTACTCAAATATTTTTTTAGATATTTTTTTACACATTTAATACTCGCACACATAATATTTTAGATACTTTTTAGATTTTTTTTTTTTGTCCATTCTATACATTAAAGTTTATATCTGTAGGTGCTTTTAGACATATTGTCTTTACAAAATAGTTTAGTGGAAGTTTAGGTGACTTAACATTTTTTTAAAATAATGAAGAATATTTTAGATATCTTTACGTGTGTTATTTTAGATATTTTTAATACTTTAAACATACATGTTTTGTGTTCTGTTGTACATGATAATTTTATATTGTACAACAAACCGATATACGTATATTATATCACATTTTAATCCCAAATATATAGTTTATTATTATTATCTAATGCTATTTACCTGCGTCTTTAATTTACAATTATTTTCTCGTTCATCGCACGGGCTACACACTAGTTATTCCAATGGAAATTCCAACAAAAATATTCCATTAGAATGAGTTTTCCATTGGAATTTCCATTGGATTTTGACGATTCCAACGGTAGATTTTTCAACTATGGTGGAAATAAAAATTCCAACGGAAATTACATATTCCAACGGTGAAAAGCCGTTGGAAATATAGTCGTTGAAACTATCAAATTCCATCTAAAATTCCAATGAATATTCCGTTGGAAATATAGTCGTTGGAATTATCGAATTCCATCTAAAATTCAATGAAAAATACATTCCAATGGAAGCTATACCATTGGAATATCTGTTGGAATTTTTATTGAAATATATCACCATAGGATTTTCTGTTGGAATATAATAATTTTTTTGTAGTGATATGTGACCCACTATCTACTCATTTAATATTATTTTTACATTATATTATTAAATATTGAATTAAATATTAAAATAAAATAAAAAGACACAATTACCCCCATTCAATGCAATGAATGAATTAGGAAGGCCCACATCAAATGGATGTATTGCATCCGATTTACGCTCCCCTCCATTTAAGTGGGCCAAACAAATGACGACCACAACGCATTTGGTCTCTTAATAAAATATTATATGCCGCATAGGAAATAGACTTAGTCTATTAAAAAATGTCTCCCAATGCAATTAAAGGTGGACATGGTCTAACTTATGTGGCAATAAGAAAAGAGACCAAGTCCATGTTTTGTAGTATTTTGTGGATAGTTGGTAACCGAGCTACCCGACCTCGAGTCGTTCTCAAAGGAAGACGGTCCAGAGCTTCGTTCACTACTCAATTGTCCAAATCACACAAAACGAGAAAATAAAAGTTAAACATGCTAATCAATTTGGATTGAGGATGAATCTCAATTTGGATTGAGGATGAATTAACACTAATTGCACTAGGAATTAAAAGCAACAAGCAAACGAAAGAATAACGCAATTAACACTACTGGAGTCTCTATGCCATCACAACCGAATGAACTCAACCAAGAGAAGTAAGCAAGTCTTAAGCACTAGGTCACTAACCCTAACTATCTAACCTACGTGATTAAGCTCTAAATAGAGTCCTAACCCTTAATCTAGATAGACAAGTAATTAATCCCTACTAAAACAAGCAAGAGGAATGATCAAGTCCAAACTTCCCATCCATCATCCAACATACACTCAAATTCACCTTGATAATCATCATAAGTAAAAACGAGGCAAAAATCGAAGTAATGAGCTTTAAAAGTAAATACCCAATCTTCTATTGCGTGCTAGATGAAAATCGGAGTAAAAAGCTTGGAATTTGAACAAAGTAGAAGTCGCCGGAAAAATTCACCGGAAAATGATGACATAAGCTCCCAAGGGAGAGAGAAGAGAGAAAACTAAAAAGAAAAGCTTAATTCCTAAAGTGTTAAAGTGACAAATGAAATCTAGGTGATCCAAATACAAAGGACAACCATGTATTTATAGTCCAGCTCAAAACACACACTAATTTCATGCACATTTACTAGAGGCACTCCTGAGCTCCCCGGGGCTTCCGCAGGTCGC